TCGTAATTTAATTCCGACTTCTGGTGGGGTTTGCCTTCCTATGCTCTCTTAAGACCTACCGTAGGCTGGTCAAATAACAGTAAAGCTCTGTTAAAAAAGGACCGGAAGTATCGCAAGCTCCGAAATGCTGTACTTCCGCAGGGCAGTAGAGACAAGATTTTAAGAAATCGTTGTCTGTCGTTGCATAGAGTCTATTGAGGAGTGCGTTGGATATGACTAGTTAAAAACTTTAGTACCTGTTCTTGTACGTGCGACATCATTCTACCTACATCAGTGTGTATAAAGAGACAAATGTGTGAATAACTCCAGCCCAGATATTTGGACTATTGGGAGTACTGAATGATGAATTTGCACCAATGATTAAGTGAAATTGTCTCCGCGATCACAGAGCGTGATAATTGGATTTTCTGGCTATGTAATCTATTTTGGTACCGGGGTGTCTCTTCCAGGCCAGAAATCAGTCACTCAATGGCGGAGGACGGTAACCTTAGTTCAAGTCTTCAAGTACTGTAAACGATTTCCGAGAGATACGTATATATCAAGGGATTTTGGTAGAAAATTTAATACAAACTTTTCTTATGGCAAAATAATTCCTCAAATGGGTTAGTGTCAGATAGGGCTTTGAAGGCTGCAATGGCGTTTCTAATATGGTTGTACTCTATGGGTACTGCACTGTGCGGGTTACGATCCCTTTCTGTGAACACCAATCTTATAGTATGAATCACGAGAATTTTCGTCGTTCGTCCAAAGTATGGTCGCATAGCTAGGGACCATGAAAATTATGATCCGCCTCCAATTCTGAGCCATCTAGCCCATGAGGCGTGATCTACATTGTTCAAGACTACCCATGGAGACTGCCACCCAGCCCCTGAAAAAGATAGGGACCATCATGGTTTAAAGCCAAGCTAATTGAGCCAACTTTTGATTCCCATAAAAGCAGCAATCGATGTTACTATATTAGTGTGGCGTCAGAGATTCCAGATGATGTCAGAAAATGTTATAAATCAAAGTGCCGAGCTTCAGCCAAGTGGAATCAATCAAGTATTGGCCTCGCCTGCCTTGTATCCTACATACTATTTCAAGGCCCAGACAGACTCTCTTCGCTATCAATTGCAAGAAACTCCGTATGTATTACCGGCAAAAGGCGACTGAAAATTTTCTATAGGGAAATAATCGTCTCCTCGCGAGGGGAAAGTGATCTCCGCACGATTATAAAAACGATACCATTGAGTCATAGCCAACGTCACTCTAAAATGCAAGTCGACTTTGGGGTACGGCCTCGGTGATAGCTCGGCAAATGCAGCTCCTGGATCGTCCACATGCAAAATTTCCTGATCTGGTAATACTAGAATTCCAATCATTCCTCCCCAACTTCAAACCATGTCACACCGCCAGATTGCATGCTCTGGAGCCTAAATGGGCTTTCTGAATCCATTATTCATCCACCCTGACTATGACACTCGACAGCTGATTTGTAGAGAGGTGCTAGGTATGTTGTATCTTGAGAATAGAAAAGACGCAGATATTTCGGCTGAGGCTCGGCCAACAGTGGTTGGAGCGGCTGTACCGTGTGGTCGCAACTTGTCAATTCTGAAAGCTATAAATTGTTAGACTTCTCATCCAGAATCAGCAGGGAACCTGAAATGTTTCAAAGCTACCTTGTCAGATATCTCCCTTCATCTCATTTCCCACGGGTGTTTCCGCAAAAATGAATAAAACAACATCTGTTCATACTCATAGCCTTGCTCTGTCCTCTACAGAGTCCCCACATCCTACTACGGTATTATCGGGTCTCAAGCAACATCTGAAAGCTATGAAGCGTAAATGGGGACCTCTTATGGCTGCTAAGGAGCATTTAGACGACGAATACAACTTTCCTCCTGGCAGATATGCCGGCCAGGACGACTCGAAGGTATTTCGATAATGGTCAGTGCCCACAGCTAAAGAATCGGCTTTGTTCTCTAAACTAACGGTGATCCATGAATATCCAGAAATCCATCTCCTGAATTGGAAGTCACTTAGTCTATTACAAATAGTTGATGTGCTGTCTTCGCAGTTAATGGATATCAGCCCTCGGGATAGACACTCGTCTCAACGAGGGCAGCATATAGTTTTCATAAATTGAACGTTGAAATTTCTTGGCTTATTTCGCTGGCAGTAGAAAATAGCGTAAAGGAGAGCCAATAAGAGCCAGCAAGAGAAGGGGGGACCCTGTTTTGATGTTGGGCTTGTGAAGGACAGGACCAAACGGCACTGTAGCATGTATCTCCACGCTATGGTGTACACCCATAATTAATTAGCGCTCGGCAGCCAAGCGGAAAGAGCAACTATCACTAGTCTATCAGTAAGTTTCCTAATATAAGTCGTCTTTCCTTGGAGCCCATACGTGGATATTTTCAGTACATGTCATCTCAGCCATCAGTAGCGTGGCGGATCCTCGTAATAAAGAAGCTTTCTTAGTAGGCTGGCTTGAAAGCGCTTCAAGTAGAATGTTAGGATACGATACCACAGGCTATCACAGCTCGATCTTGATAGCAAAAGTGGTAAATTCTGGTTTATGAACCTAACTTCATCCTATCGACGCTTTGAATCTGTATTACAATTTGCTAGCAACAACACAAGACGCACCATTGACACCATAGAGCTCTGTGCTTTTGCGTTGCAAATGGTTCAGTCCCTAGGCTATGGTTAGTGTATTTGCGATATCAAGGGGAATGGAACATCACCTTGGTGTCAAGTATAATGACCGGGTCCTCAATAGCGCCATGAGGGACCAAAGAATCGAAGGAGGCATCTGCAACCCTGAGGTTGCATACCTCATGTATGCCGGGCATTGTGTCAACGCTGTCTTGTAAGATGCCCTCCAGAGGCTGTGATGTGTTGCAGGGGCCTATGAAATATGTTAGTGTTATGGTAAGCACGTTTCAGGGGCGAGTGTCTTGCGATATTCAGCCTGACTTTGGACCACTGCAGCCGCTAACGTGTCTTCATATGGATTGGGCTGCATGTTTGACGGGTACCCACGGGTAGAGGCCGACGTAGCTTCACAGCTGTATGGATGGGCTTGACTCAGTATCGAATCATTGGGCTGGCTTTGAGCTTCCATTCTGCAGACCATATGGTCTTTCTCGGGGGAGGGCGGAGTAATCGGAATGGTTTGTTGTGTTCCTTAGCAGCCACCTTCCGTTCCTTTCGTTTCCTCCAGTGTTCTCGCATGACATGTTTGCGAGATTCGGTTTCATTTGCATTGACAAAAAAGAAACGTGGGGTTTTTGTTGTACAGCTGGCGGTTGGTATGAAGCTTGGCATATCGGCAGACATCGTGTCATCGCTATCTTGACATCGCTGTTTTATTTCGGCCATTAAAACACCGTGTATAGTAAAAGTAAGAAATAATTGGACAGGGTAGACATAGGTAAAAAATTACGGAAACAAGCGAGAGTTCTTGAAGGTGAATCGAACAGTCGTAAAAAAAGGTTTCTACTGCGACCCCCCACCCCTGTTGGAAACTTCGACAATAGTCTGACAATATGTCGCCCCGCAATCTTTAGTGCATTGGATTGCAAATGTTTTAGGAGTGACGTATTCTATGAATTTGGTGTAGCGAATTCTACCAGTAGATATTCTCTGCACTACGGTCACTAAAATTGTCCTCGGATCATATTCCGAGGCTCTGGTAATTACTCGGCTTTGTTGAAATGTTAATAGGTAGGTGCTTATAAAGATAGTTCTTTCTTTCATGAGGAGGAACTTCAGTGGGTATTGATTGGTCGGATCAGACTTAAATACTTTCCCGCCTCCGGACGAAAGGCCCCACCTTTACTACTTCTCAAAGGGGTAGTGCAGAGAATATCTAGAACCCAATGCAGAGACCTTTATGGGTCATGCGTCCCACTTGATTTGAGGCTTATAGTTCCTACGCTGAAAATAGCCGCGGAAGGTGCACACGTCACACCTTCTCATGAGGGGGAGAAATTCGTGAGGGGAGAAATCTCGGCCACCGCCCCCCTCCCCTTTCGCAGTATTTTCGCTCGAAATTCGGTGCATGCCACATTTCTATTTACTGGATATGATACTGACTTTGTATATCCCATTGTGCTAGTCGACAGGGCCTTGTCTGTTCTATTTCGTCTACTTACTTGATTGTAATTCAAAGATTCATTATTATTATTGGGGGATTATATGGGCTCATGTATAGAATGCACTTCAACTTCATTTACAATTGACCTGCTAGTTTATACGGACACATAGGGGTTTATTTTCTATGGCCTGACTTTATTTATGGTCTGCGCTATCCTCAGATATAGATATATTCTATTGCCTCAAGCAGCCCGAATGTTCTATGACTCCTCGGATTTGCTCTGTACATATTGCGACAATAGCCTTTCCCATATTTGCCATGGGTGTGCACTGCAGTTTGGTGACTACCCTCCCCCCGGGAATCTTCTCGTAGATGAAGCGTCTCGGCATATAACCCGGGCACCTTGGCATTACGGCATAGACTCATAGTAAATTCATATCAAGTAGATACGCAGAATCAAATGTCGGTAAAAGTGAAGAGAATCTTAACAGTACTATTGTTCCATTCAACCCTCTCAGCTTCCTGCTTCCTGCTTGCTGCTTCCTAAGGAACTAAGTGCTTAATCCTCAATGGGGCGTGCCTGATTATTGCTCTCAGATAATTATAGAGCAACACATCTTGATTAGAGTACCATACAAGGGCCACAGGCGTATTGCAGTACTGGTACATACTACTTTCATTAAAACGTACAGGAAGCCATTGAATGATCGGTCGTGTCATTTTACATAACAAGGCGACTTTTGGTACAGGCGTGAATATGGAAAGTCACTACTGCATCGATGACGCTTGGTCGCCAAGGCTTTATACAGTCGCGCTGCTTCTCGTCGCCACGGTATCGCGCACATTCACAGATGGGAAGGCGTGACTGATTGTACCAAGGTCGACCTGGCAAAAGAACTGGACTCTGCCGCGAGTCCTATTACGCCTGTCGACAATATTAAACAGGAGAGCCTTTTGGTAGGTGCCTCGACTTACCACAAAAAGGACGAGGTCCTGCATTGCCCGTTCTTTTAGATTCTGCGTTATGGCCTTTGCCCAAGTCATCTGTACCAGCGTGAATGACTAAGGTACGCTGACCAGCTTTGTTAGAGTTATATTACTGTCCTGCACAAGCTAAGCTTACACCAAGCACACTTTCCAGGCCAATCAACTTGACGAGGTGGTCCTTCATTGTCCCCTTGGAATTTCCAGCAGCATCGGTCTTGAAGTTTCCTAAGTCGCCGACATGACGTTCAGTGTCGCCTGGTCCACCATGGGCTCTACCGAAGGGGTTGTCTGTTTTAGTGTTAGAGGTAGAACCAGTTTGAAGACAAAGTTTAACAAACAATGGGGGCCAGCAGATGTACAGCCGTTGGTGTTGTCACCAAACTGATGGATATGAAATCCACGCTCGGCATTGGCATCGTTTCCTGTAAGATTCCAGGAAATAGTGGTAGGAAAGTTCTCATCGATTTGCTCAAAGCTTACTACCCCGGTGATTTTCGAGTCACCCCGAACAAGAGCAACTGCGTAGGATTAGTCAGCGATCTTGAACCCCCCCGGCTCGTTCAGTGCTGGTGTGGGTTCCAGGAATGTCCAAGAAAACCAGATGGTACATTTGCAACAACTGAGCAGAGCTGACGACATCGCGAGAGAAGAAGTCTTACCGCCTCGTACCATCTCTGGTTCGCAGGTGTTTTAAGAATGAAGTGTTTCTCTTGATCAGCAGAGCAAGGACGGGAGGGGAACGGTCACGTGAAATTTATTGGATACGTCACACGTGAGCTCAGATTTGAAAGGCCGAGAAAAAATCAGACATGCCACGGGGTGGGGTAGGCTTGGTTTTTGTGTGCATTAGGGGAGCGGAAACAGCGGTCCTGTCGTATCTATTAAAGCTTCCTCAAACTTGAGACATATGATTGATTTTGAATCTAGACAGCCAACAATTTCGTTCCAGCTGGCGCCTGACTACAGTGCGAGGCGATCTAGAACTTCGCAAACGAACAGATATCATTGTTTGGGTTCGACATTGCAAGGGTGCCAACCTCCGCCGCTTCATTTAGTGTTTCCCTATTTGGTAGCACCACAAAATTGGTCCGCCTAGTTTTACGACTTCACAAACGGCTAATCGGGCACTAAGTTCATAGGGTGGTAATCCACCACTCGGACTCAGCTCGGAGTCGGTACGGACGGCACGCCTGTTTCGTATCCTATGCGCTTGACTACAGAGCGACCATGCAGCAGTGGTGAATAGTCAATCAGCTCATCATGGTTTTTCTCCGTGATAACCTGTGTCTCCTGTATATTTCATGACAGTACTTCAGTGGCTAGGTAACGCGAATACGAGAACCCTTTGGTTTGAATTACATACCTTCCACATGACAGCGGAATCTAGGTGGTACAATGCATTTCCACCACAACAACGAAAGCGAACTGACTTTCAACGTAGCATGCGCATAGTTATGAGTATTGCGGGCTTGCTGAGAGCTTTTTAGATACATTGTACTCTATGCTCCTCACATGACAACATGGCTCATTACTGAATGAAGCAAGTTTGATTGGCTGTCATCTGGTATCGGTCTGTTCTCATCGGAGAAAAAGACTTTGCTTGATGATTAAATTAACGTAATTCCTATACGGATGGCGCACACAAGCAGGTGGCGCACCGCAAAACACATAGTAAATGCGATAAATTACCACTTTGTATCTCAACAACCATATCTATTTATGATAAGTTATTAAAAGCACAAAATATAGATAGTATTTCTAGCATCCTGGTGAAGTATGAGCAAAATATTGGAAGTATTAATAGAGATTTATATATTTATGTCCCTGTTGTCAAAATTACGCTGTATTTTATGGTAAAGCATCAAAATAACAATCTAAATTGTTTAAAACTAAGATATGTCATTTTATATACTAGGAAAAGCCTACATTATAATATTCAAGTAAAAGCAAGCCATGGTTGTTGAGATACGAAGTGGTAATTTATTGCATTTACTATGTGTTTTGCGGTGCGCCACCTGCTTGTGTGCGCCATCCGTATAGGAATTACGTTATCTATGCTTTAGGTGAAACGAAAAGTCTTTTTCGTAATAAGAACTGCAAAAACTCAATAGATTTACATCCAAAACCCAAAAACCTACAAAGAGATGGCGATTGATTTCGAAGCCGCGAGGCTCTTATGGGGCTGTGCCAGTGAATCGAACAACGGGGTTGCTCTGTGAAGGATTTTCAATGGCTTTCATCCCGAGGCCATGGACCAAGTCATAGCTTGCTGGAGACAAAGTAAGGAATATTCTTTGCCTCATACAGATCCTTGTGGTCTGATTTGACGATGTCCGCACCCTAGAAGATGTATTAGTTTCCTCGTATGATTGAGCAAAATTGATTGATCACTCACCTTCTCGCCAATCATATATACGGAGTTCTGGATACGGCAGTCTGGAATCACCGGGATAACACAAGCATCCATAACGCGGAGATTGCGCACCCCATGTACTCGGAGCTTAGAGTCGACGACACCTTGATGGATGCTCTTGGACAGTCGCGCCGTACCACAGGGGTCTGTGAATTATGTTAGTGCTGTTGGCAGTCTTGATGCGGGTCGGTCTTACGGAATCCGGTCTGGCTTCGGTCCAAAACAGCCTTGTTCATATCATCGTCGGAATGGAGAGGCATCTTCCAAGGGTATTCCCCAACGACGATGTCTTTGAACCCAGCTCCGTTGGTCAGAACATCGTATGTCCAGCGAACACCCTCGCGCATGGCCAGAATATCCAAATCGTTGGCGAAGAAGTTGAGATTGATGTTGGGCTGTACCAGGGCATTGGAACTGTTCAAGGTAACTTCGCCCTCGGACAGGGACGGAGCAGATCGACAATGACAGTCATGTAACTACCCTTCTCGGGCAATGGGAAGTGCCACTGGAAAGCAGTACTGAAGAGGCCGACAAAGTCAAGCTCGAAGTGCGGCTGACCCGCGGGTCCAAAGGGATCCAGTCCACCATTCGCAGCCTTAGCCTCACGGTAGGCTGGATACTTCTCCAGTCGTTCATCAATGCGAGGGAATCCCACCAGCTCCAAAAAGCCAGAACTGGCAGGACCAGTCTTGTCACGCTGGTAGGTTGCCAGGGCTTTGTCATTCAAAGGACCGGGGCGGAGAATGTGATCATCCAGGCCATATCCATCCTTGATCTGAAGCACGAACGGCACGATGGGGTGGTCCAGGAGATGCTGGCCGACGTGAGGGGAGTCCACGATTGGCTTGATTCCATGCTTCGCTAGTTCCGTGGCAGGCCCGACACCGCTCAACATCAGAAGCTTAGGCGTCTCAAACACGCCTTGAGACACAATCACTTCCCGGCTAGCATAAACACTGGTCTCAGTGTTGGAAGCTTCGCTGACCACAGTGACGCCGGAGCAAATTCGGGTGGTGGGGTCGATAATCAATTGCTTGGACTGGACCCCATAAAGGATCGTCACATTCGGCTTGTTTTTCAAGTACAAGAAACTGCCCTGACGCTCACCACGGTGGATGGTATCCACACAATGCGTGAGACCTTTCATTTCGCCAGAAAAGATATCTTCGGTCAGGGGTTCACCCTTAGAGACCCAAGCTTGAGTAAGGGCGTCGCGGAATGGTTGCATCTCTGGCACCAAGTCGGCATGGGAGATCTGCACAGGACCTCCGGTTCCAATCTTGCTGAGTTCGGCCGGATACAGCTTCTCGTCGTCATGATAAGTGGCACATTTGCGAAGGTAGTCTACACAGCTGTCCCAGTTCCAGTCGCGGCCACCAAAGTCCTCCCAATCGTCAAATGTGGGTTTTGAGCCAGGGATCCAGGTGAAGTAGTTGGCACAAGTACTTCCACCGAGGGCCTTTCCGCGGGTGTTGGGCTTTTCAATGCGCTCGTAATCATCGCGCTTGATCATGGTAGTCTTGTAGGCCCAGTCATATTTGCTTCCACGAAGAGTAAACGCCTTCGATGGCGTGGTGATTTGTTCGATTTGGTCCGGGTTCGGGATACCGGCTTCAACAACCAGAACGCGGACGTCGGGGTTCTCAGCTAGCCGACCAGCAACGGCATTGCCAGCAGTGCCACCACCGACGACGATGAAGTCGTACTCGGAGCCGTTAGAAACGGTTGCCATGATTTAGATCTGTCTGGAAGGCAAATAGAGGAATAGAAGTTGAGCGTTATTCAGTGTCTAGCAGACCTGACGTGCAAACACGCTCTTAGTGAGCCAAGACAGCGAGCTTTATACGGCTAGATCTTCATAGCTGCCGAATTCCGAGCAAGGACATGGTGAGGTCCAGCTCTCACAATGGTAGTACTACCGAATATGGCTATTTGATGGCTCCACTTACTTAAACATCTCAAAAACGCCTTTCTGTAACCTTAATTGTCATTGCGCAGGCATCAGATAGAATGGCAGCAGAGAAATTTGACCCCGCATGAGGGGTAAGGGTTCCCCGCACGATCATGTAAGCAATGCTGGCTGTTCCTTCATCCTGTACGGTGCGCGGGTAGGATGCCGAGTCCGGCGAATACTCGGTGGTGCATCGGCTCACACTAGCTATGGATCTCGGCCCGCCGTTAAGGTTTTACTCGCTTTGCATTGCGCCGGTTTCTATTTGCCCGCAGGCTGTCAGTGTCTAATACGGATTTGTCGCCGTATACGTTCCATCCGTTCTACCCCTCACATCATAGTATCCCCGAGTGCCTCCGGATAATGGCCCTAGTTCTTTGTTATCGAAATGGGCTTCATGTGCCGTCAGAATTTGCTTTAATAAAGGCCAGACTGCCGCCGCCCTAGATATCCATCACAGCACGTGTATTTGGCACCCCAGAACAAAAGATCGCTATGCCAAACCCCACATTCACGCTGGCAGAAGGTACGTTACTTCAATGCCCAACACAATATGCTCCTGCTTATCATTTGAAAGGCCAGCCAATTGCGAACCCATCCGTAAGCACTACATTGCCTACTTTAGGCGGCGGAGGTATCACAACCTTGGGTGATACGCTCCTTATCGAGACGCTCTCGCACTTCAACCGTGAGCGTATTCCTGAAAGGTCAGTGGACAGTCCGCCCTTGAAGTAAATCCAGAGCTAACAATGAGCAGAGTTGTCCATGCCAAAGCTGCTGGAGCGTGGGGAGAGTTCGAAGTCACCAATGATATCTCCTCCATCACGTCGGCCAAATTCCTGAATGGCGTGGGCAAGAAGACTCCGGTGCTTTTTCGTTTAAGTACTACTGGCGGTGAAAAGGGCAGTGCAGACACTGTCCGGGACGTGCGAGGTTTCTCTGTCAAATTTTTTACAGAGGACGGCAATCACGACATTGTAGGGAACCACGTTGTGAGTCTCCATTCCTTGATGTCTTCCTTTTCTTTTTCTAATCCAGTACAAGCCGGTGTTTTTCGTGCGCGATCCAATTCGATTCCCTTCCCTCAACAGAAGTCACAAAAGGCACCCCGCCACGAACCGACCGGATTGGACTATGGTGAGTGTCGTTTAATCTCTCTTCTTGTTGGTGAAGCTAATCGTTCAGTTCTGGGACTTCCATGTCAACCAGCCAGAGAGTGTCCACGCGTTGATGCACTTGTTCGGCTCCCGCGGTATCCCCGATTCGATCCGAAGAGTGACCGGTTTTGGGGTGCATACTTTCAAATTG